TGTGTTTCTTCCCGCCCACCGACCCTGGCCAGGCCTATCTTTGGCCCGGGATCCGTGTGTGTGTGCCTTCGTGCCCAAGTCGCGACCGATCCTGGGCCCAAGAGAGAGAGCACCATGACTGGGAATGCATTTGGCCCCAGCAGTGCCCAGGTCCAGCAGTGTACAAGTAGGAGGAACAACTTGCATGGCCGTTTGGGCCCTTGACCCCAGGAGGATGGGCCTGGCCAGGATCGGTGCCGGTGTATAGCCGGCGCCCTCCCTGCTGCATCCCAGCGCTCCGTGCGGCGCGCAGGTGGGGCGGGCCGTGCAGGACGCACCGGCCCAGGGCCGAGGGGGTCGCCCGCACCCATGGGTGAGGGCGTGAGCGCGCCTGAGCTCGAGGAAGCGCAGAGATGGATTGCGGCGCGTGGAGTGTAGCGATGCGTTCCGTTCAAAGGCGGGTTCGACGCGCTCCGTCGCCCCATCGGGCGCTGCCGACCTCACGCTTCGTCCCAGTCCGTGGATTTGATGTTAAGTCGGGCCTGTCCCTCTACAGGAGGGAGGAATATTCAAAAATCGTTGAAACATAGTCTGGGGACGATTTCCCACTGTTTTTGAATATGTTGGAGCATTTGTAGAGTATTCTTGAATGTTGTCCACGCCAACGTCGCAGATGCAATGCGTCGCCGACGTCGCCGATGCATCGCCGATGCATCGGGGATGCATCGACTACGCGGCTCGATCCTCCGACCCCGTATACGGCGACTCCATCTGGGAGGCCTCTAGAGTGATTGGCGCTTGTGGGCCAAATTGGCCTGGGTCTGCCAGACTCTGAAAGCAGTCGTCCGGCGTGACCTGCGCAAGCACACGCTTCTTGATTGCAGCCATGCGGGGCATGGTCTGTCCACGCCGGTGGCTGCGTTTGTTTCATAAACTGCTGCGCTCGTTTACGCCCTGGTCTACACACCCTCTCAATCTCGCAATATCATGCGCGTTTAGACCAACTAACGCCAGATTCAGCATCCTTGTCTGTAGCAGTACCACTGCTCTGACCATGGTGGCCCGACGATTTGCGCTCCAACGCTGGGAAAGAAAGACATGGAAAGGGAGGAGGGAGGAGCGAGAGGTGGAGAAGGAGGAGATGAAAGAGGGCTGAGGACAAAATGAAAGGAGACGCAGAAGTGCGGGGAGCGAAGGAATGCGGATGGAGGAGGAAGAGGAGGAGAAGGAGGAGGAGAAAGGGGAGGATCAGCTGGAGCGCGAAGGTATTATGGAGGAGAAGGGAGGCTGATCGAGGAGGGATGAGGGCGGAGGAGCAGGGCATGGAGCGGGAGTAGATCACATGCATGTGCGGCGCACCCACGTGACTTGGCACCTTCTCTTTGAAGCAGGGTGCCTGGACCTTCCGATCAGAAGACCTCCCCGTACCCTGAGCTTAGATGTGGTCGCGCGTTTCGATGGTGCTAATGTGGGGCTGAAGTCGGGGCCATCCTTCACCTCCCAGGCTCCCTCAGCAGGCCTCCTTCTTCCACTCCCCCCACGTCCAATAGACAGTGGAGATCTGCAATTGGGCTCGTATCCGCGCAGCGCGCAGGAGGCCTACATAGGAGTCAGTGCAAGCGTGTCCGTGTCGCACGGGCATCAAGCGCGTGTATTGTTCACCCCAACAACCACATCCGGACGATCCCATTTGATTCTCGACCATCTTGTGGTGTTGGGTCATCGTTTTGAAGCGCTGTCTCCGCGTCTCCTCTCCTCTCTTCCCTCCTCCCCCTCTTCCTTCCTCCCACCCAGTACGGCGCTTCGTGGCCCCTTAGGGAAATCCACCGAAGGCCCCAGTGGAGATGTTCGCATGCGTCTCCCCAACCCAGTACAGCGCTTCGTGGCCCCATAGGGAGGTCCACCGAAGACCTCAGTGGCGGTTTTCGCATGCGTCCCCCCACGCAGTACAACGTTCCATGGCCTAGCTCCACCGAAGGCCTCAGTGGCGGTGTTCGCATGTGCCTCCGCCGCTCAGTCCAAAGCTCCGCGGCCCCATAGGGAGAGATAGGGGGCTCCGCCGAAAGCCGCAGTGGCAGGGCCCCAGTGGCGGTGTTCGCATGCGTCTCCCCCACCCAGTTCAGCGTTTCGTGGCCTCACGGGGAGCTCCACCGAAGGCCTCAGTGGCGGTGTTCGCATGCGTCTCCCCCGCCCAGTCCAGCCTCTCGTGGCCTCATAAGGAGCTTCGATGGGCCCCAGTGGCGGTGTTCGCATGCATTCCCCTTAATCAATACAGCGTTTCGTTGCTCCATAGAGAGTTCCACCGAAAGCCCCAGTGGTGGTGTTCGCATGCGTCTCCCCCACCCAGTACAGCGCTTCCTGGCCACATCGGGAGCTCCATCGAAGGCCCCAGTGGCGGCGTTCGCATGCGTCTCCCCCCCACCCACTCCAGCGTTTCGTGGCCCCATCGGGAGCTCCATCGAAGGCCCCAGTGGCGGTGTTCGCATGCGTTTCCCCCCCACCCACTCCAGCGTTTCGTGGCCCCATCGGGAGCTCCACCGAAGGCCCCAGTGGCGGTGTTTGCATGCGTCCTCCCTTTACAGTATAGCGCTTCGTGGCCCCATCGGGAGCTCCACCGAGGGCTTCAGTAGCGGCGCTCGCACGCGTCTCCCCCGCCCAGCGCTACGTTTGGTGGCCCCATCAGTTCCACCGAAGGCCCTAGTGGCGGTGCTCGCATGCGTCGCCCCTTCTCAATGCAGCGTTTTGTTGCCCAGACCTCCACCGAAGGCCCCAGTGGCGGCGTTCACATGCGTCGCCCCACTGGTGGTGTTCGCATGCGTCGCCCCAGCCACTACAGCGCTTCGTGGCCCCATCGTGAGCTCCACCGAAGGCCCCAGTGGCGGTGTTCACACGCGTCTCCCACACTCAGTACAGCGCTTCGTGGCCCCATAGGGAGCTCCACCGAAGGTCCCATTTGCCCGAGGCCGCTCTGCGCGTCTCCTCGCACAGTGCAGCGGCTCGCTTGCTTCGTTGCACCCTGAGGGGATCCCCTGAAGGAGATACCCGCAACGACGGTACTCACAACTGCATCTGGTTGGGTTCACTTTTTGGCTGTTGTAAGGCTCCTCGGAGGAGACTGGAGACTAGTGCGCGCCTGAGTCTTCTTCAAACTCCACCTTCCCCCCTCCTTTATTCTGGGCTACGCAGGTAGTGCGTCGTCGTCTCACGTGGTTGTTCGTGCCGAAGCATGTTGCCAGCATGTCGTTCGTTCGTCGTCCACGAAGCACTTGCTTGTCGTGCTAAAAAAAAACTGCATTTGGTTGGGTCCTTTGCCGGACCTCTGGTGGTTCGGTCCGTCCTGGTGGGCTTCCGGTCGCCTGCGCAGGCGCCGCTGCCGACGGTGCCGGCGCCGGCGACGCCGGCGAGGGGCTGGCCGCACCGGCCGCTGCCCCAGCAGTGGAGACCGAGCCAGTAGCCGTAAGTCGGGCCTGTCCCTATACAGGAGGAATATTCAAACAATGTGAAAGATTAGTCTGGGGACGATTTCCTATCCTATCTTTGATCATCTTTGATGGTTTTCGGAGTAAATCCGCCTGTAGGGGGACATGCCCGACCTGAGTAGCCAGTCGCGCCGTCCACGCGCATTGGAGGAAACGTGGATCGGAGACCTTCGTTGCGTCTTCTCCAGTTCGCCGAAGTCTTCCCACGAAGAGCAGCAAACCGCCGAACCCCAATAGCACAACGAAGTCGCAGCCTGACTCACTTGGCATGAATGATGCACGAGATGGGTGGTTTGCATGTCTGCTACGATTGCACAGAAGAAAAACAGCTCTCCATCATGTTCTGGCCTCCAAACGTGAGTCCCATCGCAACGGGCCAGAGGTGTGGTAATTGCTAGTCGTTTTCTTCCACGGGAAGCGATGGGTACGGCAGACGTGCCGCGGCGGCACGGCAGCGACGCTGGCACGGGCGGTGTTGAGAATGCCACTGTCCGCCCGAGCCAGGCCAGTCGCTCATCGCGCGATAAGCGCTGCTCGGGCTCTCCAGATTTCATAATACAGTCAACCCGCTCAATAAGGATGGGCAACCTGTCTAAGGGTACCCTTGCATCCTTGCCTCCTCGGTGCATCTTTGACCGCTTTCGCTGGCCGCGCCCCGCTCGCAAAGTGTCAACATGGCCTCCCAAGGCCCTTGCATCCTTATCGTGCACCTTTAAGATAGGGGGGGATTGACTGTAAAAGGGAGGTGTCTCTTTTCGGGGGAGTCTGATTTGAGCTGTCTTGGGGCAGCCCGGGGGGTCTGGGCGCCCGTTCCTGGCCAGTCTTGGGAGGGGGTTCGGACGGGGCTGTACCCTGGGCCCCGATCGGGCCCAGAGGGCATCGGCGCATCATCAGGGGCGCGTGTTAGCCCAGCGTAGGACTTCCACATCTTCGCTGTGCATGTGCTCCGACAGACACGTTCAGGGACTTCACGCTCTGAACGTGCTCCCCACCCCCTCCGCGCGCCTCCTCTTCTTCGCCGCCTGCTTTGCCCAATTGGGCCCCGTTGCATCCCACGGCTGCCCCCGAACGCGGTGAGGAGTTTCGCTGCTGCGACAAACGAGTGCGTTAGCCCACAGTGCATAATATAACGGCGCACCGGGCCCAGGGGGCTCGCCAAAGTCGTCGTAGAAGCACCCGAGAGATTCGCGGGACCACCCGAGGCGCCAGGCAGTGGCGATAATGCCGGCCACTGGACCCGTGACTGCAGACCACGGCGACCTGCCCTGGGCAACCACGCGCTGCAAACGCTGCCGCGCGAGGCCGAAGATGCGCTCGAGCTCCGAGGACGGTGCCCAGTCCTGCCAGTAAGCCAACCCCCCGCGTCGCAACGGCGTCGCTCGCGCCGCATACGCGGGGCCCAAAGTAGCGCCCCCAGCGCCCAGCACAGCGAAGCCCGCGTCGACGTTACGATGGGCCCCCGGCGGCAGGGCCGCACTCAGGGCAGCAACCCTCGCACTGTGCAGGTGGGTGTTGGACGCTCCCGCGATGTCGATGCCGTAGAGCATGCTGGGGCTGGCCATGGCGCCCACCACGCGGGTCACGTCAGTCCGCTGGCGTCGGAGGGCGCGCGTCTGCATCGGTCAGCCCGTGGCCCCGCGTGCGCTTCCCACCTGGTGGGGGCGGGGCGGCGAGGAGCCCGAGACGCCAGCCGGCCCGCGTTGACCAGGGTTGTGCCCCGCGCGGCCCAGGCTAAAAATGGTTTGAGCGACGCTAGCTCCGCCGATGACGACGGCTATGGTCAGGGCGGCGGGGAGTGCGATGCTGACGAACAGGGCGAGCTTCCTGACCTGTCACCTGCGCGTGATCCGCGTGATCCGGCCCGTGGTCCGTTGGAAATAGCGGGTGATCTTGTGATTTGCATTCCGAAGTACAATTTTTTCACAACAGAATACTCGGATCACCTTTTGTATTACACCGGGCCACGGGCCGGATTATAAGATCACGCGATGTTTACGTGGGATATTCTCAAGACAATTAACATGACCACCCAGAGATGTCTAACATGTGCCGAGGCCTACGCACGGGGAGGCGGGGTGGCGCGGACACAAGGCGGCGCGGCCCCTTGCGGACCATCGGCGGCAGGTGCAGTTGCATCTTTGAATTGCGCCTTGGAGCTCCGCCTTGGTGCCTTGGAAAGCGGGTGCCTGGTGGAGTGAGTTTTACTGATTTACGCATTCTCGGCATCTTCTTCTATATGCTGGCTCCATGTAGCAGGGCCTCCGCGCTTTCGAATGTGACCTTGGGTGCAGCGAGGGCGCCCGCTGTCGAACAAATGCGGCTATTAGTTGGGAAGGGCTATGTGCTTTTGCCTTGACGACAGCGCGTGCGAGTCTGCACGGGGCGGTGCATGCTTCGACGGGCCTCCTGCGCTGTCCGGCGCCCGAGCGCGCCCAGGGCGGTGTTTGTGCAGGAGGGCCTCGGTCTGACTCGGGCAGTGCATCCTCGTCTGGCGGGCGCCAATTTGCACTCGAGGAGGGTGCGTTTTGCAGTTTTCTGGACGGGGGCGGGAGGGGGGGCTGGGGATCTGCATGATTCGAATTCGGGTCTTGCCGCGGGCCTCCTTTCTGTCCCTCCCAGCACAGCCAGCTTGCGGTGGGGAGACAGGCTTGCCAATATTGACTCCGCCACACTGCTGGTTGCGACGGGGGGAACTCTCTCCGCGCTACCGCCGACAGACCGCGTGTAGCACTGTAGCGCTTTAGCGCAGGATGAGAGAACTGACGGGCCACTGCAGAGGACGTCTCGACGAGCCACCAGATCTTGCGCATCGTTTGCTTGAGAAAATTCCGCCGCGGTCTCGCCTGGGAGGGGCGCAGAAGAGCCTTCAGCCGTCTCCGAGGCCAGGTGGCGGTTAGTGGACGAGCGCAGATTCGGAGTTCGTAGAGGGTTGTCCTGAGTACAGATGCGCGTCTTGCAGGGCGCTTGGCTTTGCTCCAAGGAGTGGGCTCGCCTGGCCCTTGGGCGACCCTCGTGTGCTGCCGGCCTCACGAGGAACGACCGATGTACTTCCATCGGCCACGATTCGCTGCGCGCGCTCGCCAGTTCGTGCCACGTTCCTGGTTTGTCTTGCGGTTTTCGTTGTCACCTTGCTTTGCCAGCCGCATTGGGACCTCCCCCCCTCCTTTGTCTTAAATAAAGAACAGCGACCTTCAGGCAAACCTGGAGAAACCGCGGAAGCTCTATCGCATGGTCTAGGGACAGTTGAAGCCGTGACGCTTTTCAATGAGCAGTGACCGACGACGACGAATGACGACGGCGAGGCCGTCCGACGACGAGGCCGCCCGACGACGACTACGGACGGACGACGGACGACGACGACGACCACGACCACCACGGACGACGAAGACGACGACGACGACGACAACGTCCGACAAGGACGACGACGTCCACGTCCGACAACGACGACGAAGACGACGACGACGTCCCACGACGACGACGACGACGACGACGACGACGACGACGACGATGCACCGACCCACCGACCCACCGACCGACCGGCCCGACGTCCGACGGTGTGCCGCCCAAGGCCGCGCCCGCCGCGGCGCCCTCCGAGGGGCGCCCCGCCGCGCCCGCGCCGCCGCCCCCGCCGCCGCCGACGGCAGGCCCGGCGCCTTCCGGCGCGGCCCCGCGACGGACGGCGGCGGTCGAAGAGAAGAAAATTCCAGCCCCATGTGAAAGCTCCTCCTTCTCCTTTTCCTCCTCTTCCTTCTCCTCGTCTTCCTCCTCCTCCTCCTCCTCCTCAACCTCCTCGCCCTCTTCCTCCTCCTCCTCCTCCTCCTCATCCTCCCGACTCCTCCTCTTCCTCTCTCCTCCTCCTCGTCCTCCCTCCTCCTCTCGTCCTCCTCCTCCTCCTCTCCTCTTCTCTCCTTCCTCTCCTCCTCATCTTCTCCTTTCTCCTCTCTCTCCTCCTCCTCCTTCTTCCTCCTCCTCCTCCTCCCTCCTCCTCCTCCTCTGCCTCCTCCTCCTCCTCCTCCTCCTCCTCCTCCTCCTCTCCCTCGTCCTCCTCCTCCTCCTCCGTTCTCCTTCGCTCCGCCGCCTCTTCCGTCTGCCCTCCCCCCGCCCCGCCTCGCACGCAGCTCCTCTGCAAGGGGGCCGTCGTCCGCGTCGCCCTCCCGGCGCGGCCCCTGCCGCCGCGTGAGCTCCTCCTTTCTCTTCGCCGCCTTTGTGGTTCCCTCCTCATGCTGGCGGCGACGATACGATACCGAGCGTTGCGGTTTTTCTTACACGGGGCGTGTTCGCCTAATTTCTGGCCCCGGGACCCTCACAGATGGATTCGGCACGAAGACTGACACACGTTTCGTGGCCCCATAGGGAGCTCCACCGAAGGCCCTTGTGGCAAAGTTCGCATGGTGGCCCCGCCCCATTCCAGAGCACCCCTCACACGCTTCGTGGCCCCATGGGGAGCTCCACCGAAGGCCCCAGTGGCAAAGTTCGCATAGCGCCACCGCACGCATTTCGGCGCACCCCTCACACGTTCCGTGGCCCCATGGGAGCTCCACCGAAGGCCCCACTGGCAGGGTTCGCATGGCGGCCCCGCCCCATTCCAGAGCACCCCTCACACGCTTCGTGGCCCCGTGGGGAGCTCCACCGAAGGCCCCAGTGGCAGAGTTCGCATGGCGGCCCCGCCCCATTTCGGCGCGCCCCTCACACGCTTCGTGGGCCCACGGGGAGCTCCACCGAAGGCCCTAGTGGCAAAGTTCGCATGGCGGCCCCCCCCCATTTCGGCGCGCCCGTCAAACGTTTCGCGCCCCCATGGGGAGCTCCACCGAAGGCCCCAGTGGCAAAGTTCGCATGGCGCCACCGCCCCATCTCAGCGCGCCCTTCACACACGCCGTGGCCCCATAGGGAGCTCCACCGAAAGCCCCAATGGCAACGTTCGCATAGCGCCACCGCACGCATTTCGGCGCACCCCTCACACGTTCCGTGGCCCCATAGGGAGCTCCACCGAAGGCCCCACTGGCAGGGTTCGCATGGCACGACCGCGCTCATTTCGGCACAAACGTCACACGTGCCGTGGCCCCATAGGGAGCTCCACCGAAAGCCCCACTGGCAGGGTTCGCGTGGCGCCGCCGCTCGCATTTCGGCACACCCCTCACGCGTTTCGTGGCCCCACAGAGAGCTCCACCGAAGGCGGGGCTCGCAACTGCGGTATTCACAGTTGCATTTGGTTGGGTCCTGCGCCAGGTAATTTTCACAACCTTCATCACCGACACGTGGACCATCATCGTCATCGGCGTGATCAGCATCGGCGCCGTCATTGGCCTTGCCACGCCTTGCCGTCGTCATCGCCACCGTCGTCACAAGCATCGCTACGATCATCACCGTGTCTGCCGTTGTCGACATCGCCATCATACCGCTCCCGCCCGATTCACCGACTCGCACTGAAGGGAGCGCCTGCGCGTCAGCGCGTCCTGCAAGACGCGCTGGGGACACCCCAGCGGTCAACGCCACCGCGGCCGCGTCGGTCGCGCCAGATTTGCTGGCCGCTCTGCGCGCGAGCTTGCGCGCGCTAGCGCGGCCGCAGAGATGCGCCAGCCAGCGCCAGCCAGCGCCAAACAGCCATCGCAATCGCTGCCGCATGGGTTTTGCAAAGCAAGTTGCGGGTGGGTGGGTGGGGTGATTGCGCGAGTAGTGGATTTGGCAAGTCCTTGCGGACAAACATTGATTGCATCAACTGACGTGCACCACCTAGATTGCACTACGCAGGTTGCACCACATAGCGTACACCACATATATTGCAACAACACAAACTCTGCACCACCTGTATTGCACTACTAGACTGCGCTACATAGCTTTGCACCACAACTACTGCTACTGTATCACCCACATTGCACCGCATAGAATGCTAGAACACACAGTTTGGCCCCGCGCTGGCTAACGCACTCACACCACACACACACGCACACACGCACACACACACACACACACGCGGGCCCACATATATATATATATTTATATATATATATACACACATATATACATATGTATATATATATGAGTGAATGAATACACATGTGCGCGTGTGTATCCAGGCGCTCTGTGGTAGAAGTGTTCCCGAACGCATTGCTGTAGATGTCTCGTTGCACATCATGTGCACTATTTGGCATCAGCTGTTTTGCGGTGTGGTGTCCCGCGCAAGACACCGGAGAAGGACGGTCATGAGGAAGAGTAACCGCAGGAATTTAATGAGGATGGTGGAAGGAGACGGCCCATCCAGAGACAACGCCCAAGGGAATTGCCGTCAGCAGGAAAGCACATACGAATGAATCGCGGAGGCCACAAGTGGTTAACTTACGAGACTCCCGGGCCCTCCCGTAGCCCTCTCTAAAGCCCCCCCCAATACCACCCCTTCCGGACAGCTCCTCGCCATTCCTGGTTGGCCACGGATCGGGTGTTGCCAGAGGTGGCTTTGGTCCAAGGTGGCTCCAGCTTTTCCAAGGGGGCCCAGGGGGTCCCAAGAGCACCGCTCACAGGGCCAACAGGGTTCCAGAGGGTTCAGA